CTCATTAGTGTTCAAGGCCTCAAACCTGTTAGCATTGCTTACTTGGAGTAAAAAAGGAAAGACAAGAAATAATGCAATGCAGGATAAGCAATATTTGCTTATAATTTTCCAGATTTGATAAAAGACATTATTCTTTATATTCTCCAATACCAAAGACTCTCAGCCAAGATGTAAATAAATCCTCACTCAAATATTTTTTTGTTAAATAATATGCCTACAGAAATAACACCCTCCGCACCCCGCCACATAATGCTCATAGTGTTCATAGGGGGTTAATGTGGATGGGCTGTCTAGTTGTAAAAAATGTATATGTCCATGCTATTTGTGTAAAAATATTCATATGAAAACTACTGAACATCAAAGCAAAGAGAAAATTTTAAAAGCTACTAAGACAAAATATAAACTATCTTCAAAGGAGCAGTAACTCCACAGAAAGATTCTTTTTTTCCACAGCCAAAATGAAAGACATAACAATCTTTTTAATGTGCCGAGACAATAATAATAAAATATTAATAGAATAGAAATGGAAGGTATACTTCCTCAACTAGAACAAAGATGAAGAGAAGAGGAAGAAAGGAAAGAGCAATGAAAAACCTAAAAAATTAATCCATGCCAAAAAAGGAAAGGCACAGAAGAAGAAAGAATGGGAAGGATACATAGAGAGTGGAAAATGAAATGGCACACTAAGACAATAAAAAAAAAAAACAAAACAAAACTGTAGCACATCAATAAGCACAACAAAATACAGATTAAACACTTTTTCAATATAAATACAAAATAGGGTGACATAGTCTGAAATGTTCCTGAACTTTTCTTATGATAGTGAGTTAGGCAAAATTCAAATAACTTCCTTATTTTAACTTTAAACAGGGAAAACAACTTCTGTATATCAGCTGCAAATATTCTTTGTTTTTCCACCAGCCAGGGAGTGAACTTCTTTATTGGGTAAGTCACATGGTGCAGCTGTGCAGCATGTTGTCTGAGCAGACATATCCTACAGACTCAGTCGTCTATTCTCTATTTGCCAAATCCTCATGCATAATATCCTAAGTATTTGGCTTGAAAAATTGATGCAGAAACAGCAGTTGCAAATTTGTGTGG